TTTCTATGCAGTATTTCAATTTTTTCGAAAATCGCAAAATGTAAACATTTTAAATACAGAGAGTTTTCTGGAAATGAGTCTACCACCATTTTTTCCCGTTCATCGCTTTATACAAAGAGAAAATTTAAAGAAACAATTTGGACCCTTTTTTTAGAAATTAGTTGTTTAAAAATTGCCTATATTTCGCACAAAATGATTCGAAACCGTCTCATGTTTTCAAACGTACATGACGTCATTTCAAGATCTGCCTTTAAAGAATAGATTTCATTCAAGGAAAAAATCTGCATCATCAATATTGCAGTTGTAGGAAGACGCCGAAAATAATTTTGAACTTTTGCAATTTTCGAAAAATTAGGGATTTCAAGGAAAATAAGGCCTGCGCCAATCTTTTAAGCGTCTTTTACACTATCCAAGTTTAATTAAACAAATTGGAGGCGTTTTTGAGAAAATGTTTAAAAGCTTTTGGGGAATTCATGAAATGTACCCTCACAAAAGAAAATTAAATTGACTGCAAAGCGAAACTATAACTGTTTCTGCATACGTGTTCTTTTCCTCCTACTGCTGGCAGTATCAGACCTTACAAAGTATATTTTTTCACCAATAAATACTTGTTTGTTTAGAAATACAGTACGTGGATTATAAATATGTAAGATAAACACATTTAATTAGCAGGAATTTTCAAGTACATGATATTTTTAAAAGTTGAAATGTATGTAACTAAAAGCACTAAGTAAAAATGTGTATGAATCATACAAGCAGCTGTATTGAGCAGAGAGAACTTGGAAAACTCGGCAAGGTAAAGCTGAAGACAATACCAGAACGTTCCAACAAACATTATTAACAAGGATCCTCCAGATCGGCTAATGACAACTGAAATGGTAGGTGCAGTGGTTCTCATGAGCTAGAAAACCCAACTTACCCCATAAGTCTGATATGTTTCCGACAACTTGCGTATGTTTAGCACCGTTCATGAGTCAAGTAATCAACTTTCGAAGAAGTAATTAACGTAAAGAAAGGGGGATATTTGCTGAGGGATGCGCCATTTGACACAAGCGAGCATCGGAATTGCATCACAACTGCGTCCACATTTCACCCGCTGGTATCACCTCTTAGTGCGGTCAGGTCCACAACTTCCCTTCCCCAAACACACAACAATATTGTTCAGAGGAATGCCCTCAGTTCCTATTCCGCTTTGACTGCTAACTGCTTCATTTCAGATGGTAAAACAACAGCGTGTTCCTGTTAATATTAGCAATTATGTTTTTTTCAGTTTTGGCTCCAGAACCATAGATTCCGTAGAAACTGTGTTTTGCAGTTTTACAATATGTCGCCGCCTTTCGATCACCATAACTGTATGCGCATTTCCAAGACTCGAAGTGCTGTTGTGGACTCGAGAGGTCATTAATGGCGGTTTTGCGGCTTCGGTAGTGTAACGGTTAGCTGTAGGACTGTAATACACAAGTTCGCGGTTTCAAATCAAATCGAAGCCGTGGATAAGCAAAAAAATTCTTCCTACGCTTTTTCTTCGGACAGGAGGTAAAGTCTGATGTTTTAGGTTGTAGATTTACGGCCTGTAAAAAATACTCAAGCGTAAAGAAGCCTCTGAGCTAAATTCAAATTTCGCGTTTCGTTGCCCGAGTGATATCTGCTTTCTCCGCGAGATGGTGAAAGGAGCGTAGCGAAATTTGCGTGGTCAGATGGAAGAGCAGACCTAATGGCCTGAGTCTCGCCACGTAAAATAAGGCACCATTGAATTGAATTGACGTCATTTGCGAACGAGTACAGTCGTGACGGCTTAAAATCCGATGCGATCGCACGGTCTCTCGCGATACAGGACTGCCGAATTAGCATTCCAATTCCGGCATTTCACAATTTCCGTTTCCCTTCCTCTATATTGGAAGAAGTACATATTTATCGGCAATATTTAGAACTATACTCAGAACTTCGATTCATTACAAGCGCAACCTTCCAATGTTATAGACGAGGAGAAATAGCCAGGAACTTGCAATGCTGAAAAGAAGCCTTTTTTAGCAAAACGCAATAGGAAGCATTTGTTCACTTCACTGAAAAGAATACGGCGATGGATTTTTTACCGCCTGAAATGAGTCACCTGTATTCACTCGGGACAATGTATCCAGTGAAGGATTAACAATTACAATCAACTTTATTAAGATTATACAAAAGAAAATGAATTTTTTCGGGAAATTATTTTGAAATGATCGAAATATTTATGATATCAGAAAAGAAGGTGAAGGTTCTTCGCACAATAAAAAAGGATCACTTGCGCATTGCTTTACGAGTCTGAATTTCTAATAATGGGGTTTTCTACTCTCCAGTCCTGTCGCATCTAACTGTGAAACCCAAATAAAACAATCTAATTCCGCAGTGCGAATGTGCAAAAGGATAAATATTTTGCAAGTGTAAGCAGGAAGCGCGCGGGCGTTTAGTGCTCCAAATGTGAGGTGCGCTGGCACGCGATGCATCGATCCGCGCGGTTTCAGTGGCCCGGGAGCTGCGGGCAGTCGACTCCTCTGAGAACGCCAGTGAGGGTGGCCTATTTTGGATATGTCCCTGTCCATGCCCACCGCTGGTATTTTTTTTCATTGACGAATTTGGAAGTTGTTCTTTGTTAAGTTGTTATAATTGAAGTGGGAGGTTAAGTCACCACACCACGTACAAACATTTTTCGGTTACAATTCAAAGATGTGCATTTAACTAGCAATAAGCTCTCATCGTCACGATTGTAATGTTTTCGAAGTACTTTGATTCATCAAAGTATGATTTCTAGGCTGTGGAGATACAGATACATCGCGTAACATTTTGAAGTAGTACAATATCAGTCAGATGTCTCATCGTGCTTACATCTGTGAGACCATCACAGAGAAAAACTTCGCACTTATAAGCGGATCATCTGCAGGGAATAATCCGTGCTTTCGCAAATGTGATTTGGTGAATTTGAGAGGAGGTGCATGTTTAATCAACTCCTGGAATTGTTGAATGCTATTTGCGGAAACATGCGAATATCCTAAGCACGAGACCCTTGACGCGCGCGCTCGCTCCCGCGCCCTG